GTGCTGGTTGTGGTGTGTTTTAGTATTGGTTTCGGTTTCACAATACCAGCAGCCGGATGACGTGAGGGAATCGATTTTTGTCTGTGTGGCAGCATGCACTGTACAGTCAGTGCTGACATTGTGTGAAGATTCACGAATTGAGGGGTTTTTCACGAAATTTTCGGTGAGTTTGACGGTTTGACAGGTTTTTTTTTATCTAGGAACACTCCCCGGGTATAAGAGATGGCCCTGTGAAAATTGCATCCAGATCGCTTGGGCGGTTTGGGCCGCCTATAGGGAAGATACATACATACATACATACATACATAGATACATACAAACTCAAATATATATTAGATATATATATATATTGATGTATCGTTAATCAATTTGTTATCATTTATTTATTTTGTTTCCTCATACAGTTAGGAAATGTTTTGTCTTTGTGATAAATGGTGGATGTTTATATAGGGCGTGTCATAATATCGCGAAAGGCAAACAAATGAGTGGCCCACAGGAACTTGACTTGAAAGTAAAATAAACGAGAAACGGTAAAAGATAGGTGTTGTTCACGCAGAGATAATTTCATATAAAAGATTATTTCTACCTTGGCCAGCATTATCTTAATATAAACCTTAGATTAAAAATCCCTTTTCTGTTATGTGCAATGTATGCTTTAGACTCGCAGCCGGAGGTGAAACAGAACTGAATGCACTACGCAGACTGGGAAAGCCATTAAGAGACCTCCACATTGCAGACGTTGGTGAGTGAATTGTAAAACGTCAAGCCAAGATCCTCACCCAACCCATAAATTACGCGCTCGTGGCGAAAACGTGTAAATGTGTAAACGTAGACGATAGATCGGTGTTCCTCTGTTTGTATCTCAACATGCTTTTAATTGCGGTGGAGAAGCCCTAGCCTTCACATAGCACGGGCCGGCATTACACCTAATACCGCGTGATAGTATACGAATACACATTAGTATTACTAAGTGCGTATCCTTGTAATATTACTCACATAATAAACCGCTCTCATTCAGGCTGTGGCACGGGCAACTACACTAAGTATTTCCTGGATAATGGCGTTGGCAAGGTGTCCATGTTTGATGCGAGCGAGGGAATGCTGAGATACGCGAGAACCAAGGTTGCTGACTACGTCGCGGCTGGGCGCGTGCCGCACTGCGAACAACTAGAGCTTCCATGCCCTATACCGGGAGGTGAACAACGTTACGACGCCATATGCATAAATTTTGTTCTGCATCACCTAGGTTCTCCCGATGATGATCTTGCAACGGAAACGTTTCCTAAAGCCATGGCAGCGATACGCAACGTCTACGACGCCCTGAGAAAGGGTGGTCTCTTCATTCTACTCTCTTCTTTACGGCCACAGCTTCCGCATATAATGTGGCACACTAGCTTTATAACCGATTTAGATGATTTGTTCAATCAACCAATAATAAAATTCGTGTGCGGCGATTACAACATAATTGAGAGGGCATTGACAAAGATTGGGTTTTCAAATATGCAGGCAACAGTTCCTCTTCATGAAATACTTCTCAAACCACACCATTATTACAATATCGACAACGCATCCGACCCCAGATTCATACAATCGGTTTCTACATTTGCCTTGATAAAAAACCGAGACAAGAATAAGGGTACTAATCATATGGAGACATACTTCCAAAGACTCCGCGACTCAAAGGAGAGGAACGAGCTTGCGGCAGTCATAGAGGAGAAAGAGACGCTGAGAAAGATATATGGTTGTATAACCGCAATTTCTGCAGAAAAACCTTAATAAGAACATAAACAAGATTGCCACCGTATTGACAGTGTCTATGCGTTTATATATAATTTTCAGCAGAGCGCACGGATTTTTACTTAACGTTGCACAATTGAATGATTTTCAATCTGTAATCATGCTGGAGTCTAGAAACACGAAAGATGTCAAATCTGAACGCAACTACGCCACTAATCTGTAATTTATCTAATATATATGAATAAATACTTCATAATTTATGCGCTCTTACTATTTTGCTGAAAGATGTGCGTAAAAGCGATTAATTTTTACAAAGCAACGAAATCAAGACCGCGTTGCGACAACATTTGAGACTTTCGAGGAATGTTGTTTATGAGATCATTTTCATTTTACTCAATGCAAATTGTTATTTGTAACAGTCAGAAAAACAGTATTGTTTAACGTATTGTTTTCAAAAATA